GGTTGAAATAAAGTTAGACTTTGAGTCCAGACTGACCCTTTTAAACGTAAAACGTGATGTGCATGACATGTATGCTGTTTCTGTGAAGGTGCAGAGACAGTGTCAGGCAAACACCCTGTTATACCAGCAACTATAACAGCAGATCTATGGTTTGACTTTTCTGAATCTCCCTCCCAGTGTTAGTAGAGAGCAGCTTAGGAAGCTCCAGTTAAAGAGTAAAGAAAGACTCGGTTTAATCCAATAGCGTATCAAATAGTCCTGTTTTGTGTGAATGTTTAGGAAGCATTGCATTTGTGTCAAAAACATGTCTGGATCATAAAGAGCTGGACCCTGCTGTTATGTTCATTACATTTGGGACCACATTACAAGTTACTCTGAGCCACTGCTTGACTAATATACCCCTCTCTGTCTCAGGCCTTGCTGGGCATCTTCTTTACAACAAATTCAGCAGTACTGATTGAAGATGTGCCTTTGACAGATGAAGACACATTTAAAGAGTAAGTCTTGTGCTATAACACATCACTCCAGATCTCTGCCTATGCAGCTGCACTCTGGCTCAATACTGGTCTGTTTGAGCTGGACTGATGCACTGCATGTTGGTCATTCTGTTTAGGGCTAGTATCCTGTCAGCTGCAGGTATCCTGTCAGCTGCAGGTATCCTGCTCCTGCAGAGACAGTCACCAATTATGCTTCAATTTTCTGCCTTAAATAGAAGGAATGAAAACAGACAGCAGAAAAACGCTCTTTCCCTCATAAAATGTAAATGAAGAAAAGGTTAATGATGTTATTTGATATTGCTGTGTCTTTTGTAGAAACACGATTCTTCCTTGAAAGTTGAAATCTACCTCAGCAATAAACCACAGGTCACCAAATCTGTCCAGCAGATGGGAAAGAGATCCTGTTTTTGAACACGATGCAGCGTTTGGCCTCCACTTAGCTGCTAATGAGCTAAACATGGACATTTTAAAAGGAATATAAATAGTAAAATGGTTCAATCTGGTCCAGAATGAAAAACAGGAAGTTTGGAATCAAAGAGTAGCAGAGTGACTTCCTCATTATCAGCTGACTGCAGGTTTCCAACTGTATAAACGCTCGTTTTAAAAGAAAACATCCAGATGAACAGAATCAACCTTTTGGGGGAGGGGTAGCAAATCTTGGGCTAAACGACCGTCCTGTGTTTTTGTCCTGTGTTTAATAAGCCCTTACAGCTCAGTTGAGCTCAGTTTTTATTCGATAGCGCTAAATCACAAAAACAGTTGCCAGAACTACATAAAGTGCAAGTGTGCAAAACTGGCAAAAAAACCACCAAATTGTGCAACACCAGACAGAACAGAATGATGCAGACACAACGGTGCACATCAGTACTTCACATCAGACACAGAGCCTGGTCGTTGTGAGGGGAGTAGTCTTCCTCATCATCACGTCCTGAGAGTCAAACCGTGCGTAGAAGTTGTTCAGCACATCTGGTACGGAGGCGTCACCCTCACAGGCAGGTGTTGTCTTCCTGTAGTGGACTGGATGACTGAGAACCTTCACAGAGTCTTGGAGAGTCCGGGTTCCCCACTGAGCCATGATCTTCTCTTTCAGCTGTACTTGCCCTCAACGCCTTTAATACGCAAGTTGTTCTTGGGGCTTGGTGGGTGGGAATGACAACGGTATCCCCAATTTGATGTCCTGGCTCCCCTTTGCCATAGTGTTTGTGTTGTACCTCTTCAGTCTCTAGTTGCTTCTTCCAGATGATGCCCTTGGTTACAGAATTTCTAAACTACTGTAAATTCCAGTGAGCACTGGAGTAAATAATGTGGAAAGAAAATCATTCCACCATAAACCGGCCACGAGGTGCTCCCACATACACATTTCCACATACTTCATAAACTGAGGGAACAAACAATGTACAGAGACAAAATATTGAAGAAGAAATGCTCAGAAACTTTGTCTGTGAAGGTTCTCGGTCATCCAGGTCATCATAGTCTAAGGAGCTTGGAAAGAAAAGCGTCTGGACTTCTTCAAGTTGCTTCCAAAGTGGGAACAATGGCATTGAGGATGCCAATGTTCACATTTTGGACAGAGAGGACAGATGGTTTGAAAGAGGAGTAAAAGAAGCCATCTATGTCCACTGTGAGCGGCCATCTTTGAACAGAGGCGGTGGTTTACGACACCAACTGTCTGCCATCTATAATCCGGTTTTGAGATACTTCCCAGATGCCGAATGCCCACTCACATCCTGGGCCATCTGACCTCAGGAAATCACATGATAGGGTGGGGCCAGGTTTCACAATGAGCTCACCCGAAACCCTGGCTCATGTGATTAGGTAGAGCAGGGGTGCCCAATCCTGGTGCTCGAGAGCTACCGTCCTGCAGCTTTTAGATGCATCCTTGTTCCCACACACCTGAATCAAATGAATGGCTTGTTATCAGGCCCTTGCCAAACATGATGGCATGCTGAAGAGATAAAACCATTTGATTCAGCTGTGTTGGAGTAGGGATGCATCTAAAAGCTGCAGGACGGTAGCTCTCGAGGACTGGGATTGGGCACCCCTGAGGTAGAGGATCATCAGGTGGTCCTTTTGTCCCTCTTTGTGGGGGATACACCCACAGAGCTTAAATCTGAGACTCTCCACCATTTGACCTTAGAACTGAAGAAGCTTCTCGGATGAGAGGTGAAACGTCTTCAAGCAACTTAAAGAAGTCCAGACGCTTTTCTTTGCAAGCTCCTTAGACTCACAAACTTTGTTGCCATCTACCAGACAATGGATCCCAAACACACAGCCAAGGAAAGTCTCATTTGATTTCAGAGAAAGAAGAAGCTGCTAGATTAGCTCAGTCAGTCACCTGACCTGAATCCTACTGAAAACGTATGGAAATAACTAAAGGTCAGAGTTCATAGAAGGGGAACCTTCAGGATTTCAAGACCGTTTGTGTGAAAAAATGGACCAAAATCCCACCTGAGTAATGCACGTGACTAGTTTCTCCATACAAGAGGCATCTAGAAACTGTCCTTGTACGAAGTATTAAATATATTTCCCTGTGTCATTTCTCATTATAACACATAATTTAAAGACATCTGTGGTTTGATTTCTTTGCATGTATGAATGGGATGTGTTGTAGTTCAATAGCACCTTTAGAAATATATTTACTTAGAACATGCGTGATGTGTTCAGTACTTGTTCATTCTGCTGTGTATCTGCAGTGACCGAATCATTCATGAGATGTGTAACTTTTCTTTTGCAATGTTTCTATTTTCTCAGTTTAAATCCACCTCACAGGGCCTATGACGTGTACCAGAAGGTGGGCTACAACTGCTTCATCGCAGCTGCTATGTATGTAGTGTGTGGACTGTTCTCCTGCTGCCAGATGAAGCTCAATAAGAAGAAGGTGAGTTAATGCTTCTGACTTTTTACCTTGCAAGGCACTTGAATTTATTTTGGGAGAATCACAGGATCTCGATTACAAGAGACTCCATCTTGTTAAGCTGTTTGCTCTTAGCCAAACAACGTTGTTCAGTTGAACAACTTGATCCAGTTAGTTTCTTTTGAGCTAGTACTGGAGATTGAGATGGGTCAGTCCATGAAAAATCCATAAATGCTTCCCATGTAACTGTCCCAGACATCAGCTTTAAAAAACAATCCCATGGAAAAAGACTTTCGGGCATCCTTGACGTGATTCTGGTAAACTGCCGGATGACTCAGGACGGGGAAGCATTGATCTACCCACACAGTATACACTGCAGAGGGGGCATTGCTGACTTCAGTTGAGAAATACTGAAAGAACCTCTTTATCCCGCTGACACGCCTTCCATAGAGGAAGCAGAGTCTTTGGACGAGTGTGACATCACTGAGGGGTGACATCACTCAGGCAAGTTAAACTTCAAAGGATGAGGTCGGCCGAGTTCATGAAGCCTCTGAATGCTGGAGGCCTGTCTTGGTTGGCGCACCTTTGCAATGCTGCATGGAGATCAGGGGTGGTACTTATCGATTAAGAGACCGAGGTGTTGGTTCCCATCTTTAAGAAGGGGGTCCAGAGGGTGTGTGTTGGGGATCACAGTCATCTTTATTCCCCTGGGTAAGCTGGAGGAGGTGGCTGGGGAGAGGGAGGTCAAAGCTTCTCTGCTTAGGATGCTACATTCGTGACCTGGCTCTGGATAAACAGACGAGTATGGAGGGAGAGTTTGTCTGTTCTTCTCCTGCAGCCCTGCATGTCCTCTTTGCAACAGTCATGAGGTTCACTTTATCCGTTATTCTTCTTCTGCACCTTTCTTTTCTACTGTGTCCAAACAGCTGAACCATCTGTAACCAGCTGTACGTCCTCTGATTTTATGGAGATGATGGAAGACAACTAGTTCAAAATTCATTTGAAGAAGTAAAACAACCTTGATCACAGAGATATGAGTCATGATGAGTTTATGGTCTTTCTCTGGTTTTAAACGTTATTGAATGTATTATGTCAATTAAACAAATAGGAGGTTTATTTAAGGTCAAAGAGGAGGATTAACTATAGTTTGCTTTCTTGTTTAATTTATAAACTGATGGTTTATTGTATTTGCTACAGTTTCTCATTTCTGCTCCTCGGTGTTGTTCTTCAGGAGTATCTCGTGCAGTAGCGCCACCTGGTGGAAGGATAACCTCCCCGCAGCCCACTGACAGCAGCTGTGTTGATTCTCACCTGTTTTTTCTTCTGTCTCAGGATTTCGGGGACCTTGTCAAAGGGAACGAGGTCGGACACTTTGAGAACAAAAAGTAATTTGACGTGTTAATTCTAAGATTAAACTAGTTCTACCTCCGATTACTGTGTTATAACTGTTTGATTACACTAGTCAGATTGAAATAAAAGCTGTAAAACACTTTGTGTACTTCTTAAATCAGAGAGTATGTTTGTAATCCTTATCAGTGACCATGTGACTGTGTTGGGAATGTTGATAATGAAATTAAATCATTTCTCTCAGCATAGTTTGTCTGAAAGCGCCTTTTAAATCCTACGTTTACCTTTGGTTCCCTGGAGGACGTCCAGCTGTCTGCTGTAAGCAGACTTACTGTATCCACTGTGTTCTTCCTGTGGTGAACGTCACAGTGACCCACTCTTTACTGTTACCTGATGAGTCATGCAGTAATCTTACAGTTGTACTGAAGCCACAAAGTACACACAAAGGCTGTAGCTTCATTTGTTTATTTCTCAACATTGTAAGCACATGGATATATCAGGATGTCTTGCTTTAAGCTTCATAATACATTTATATGTTCTAAGTAAAAAAGTTAAAACATTGAAGTTATTCTGTCAAAAGTACTACTTACTGATTGCCCAGGATTGATTAAATGGAGGTAAACTTAACTTACCCTACTACAGAAGGAAATATCTGAACTCATATAATTAATGTGAACACAAACAATGACTCATCTCTCCAAACATGACTCACGCAGGTTTATCTCTAATCTGACCAGTCACCAGATCTCAAGCAGCTGGGAACTGACATGTCAGACACTTCATTTCACTTGCTCGCCCACTCTGCACATGACACATCAGTTCCAACTGTTAGTGGTTGAGATGCAAATAAAGAGCTTCCAGGAAATCCTGCGGCTGGAGGTGGAGCGAGGCATCGGCTGATCGGAGGGTTGGTGGTTTGAAATATGCTTGGGCAAGATACGAACCCAAGATGCATCCATCAGAGTACGAGTGAGTCAATATTAGATAGAAAACACTTCAGCATAAAAAAGTGCTTATTTGAACGTGTGTGCTGTATAAAGCTGCTGTGGGAGAGTAGAAAAGTGCTACAATAGAACCGCTCCATTAACAAAATATTTTTATAGTCTGTGTAAAGAAACGTTTTTCCCTCCTGATCATCTCCTGCGTCGTCTATTGTTTTGATTCATTTTTGGTTCATATTTAAAGAACAGAAAACAACCTCATATAACATAAGGACAAATTTCCAAACTTTAAGATTTAAGATAATGATCTAGACCAGTATTTACTTGTGCGTGACTTAACCAGTTAACCAATACCAACCTGTTATATGTCAGCTGGTTTATCTATGAAGATGTGATTGGTTAATTTCCTGCCTTTTATTTAAGCACACTTCTATGTGTTACTATGACCCTGATGAAGGCCACACGCCGAAACACGCCGGTCAGTCAATAAAGTTGTTCCCTTCTTTGAGTGTCGCTGGAGTCCTTGCACTGCAAAGATTCACTCAGCAGTCTGGGAGTATTTCTATATGGTGATGCTGTTTTCTATGCGACTGGGCAGGAGAAAAAGGTACTGCAGCTCCAGTCCTTCATTCTCAGTCAGAATGTGTTTCTCGATCTCCTTCAACTCCACCCTGAACCTGTCGATCACCTCCAGGGCTTTGGCCTCGGTGAAGTGGTCCTCAGTGTATCGGCCCAAAGGAATCTGAGCAGAAAAGACAGAAACAATGTGAACCCCAAGTAGCTGAGGAAAAAGGATCAATTCCATTTTTCATTACAAAATATCATTTATACGTGTTGCAAGACTTAATGCTTCCCTGCATGTCTCACTGTCTCCTCCATCTTAATGAAAGGCAAGAAAATCCCCAAAGAATAAGTAAAAATAAATATTCTGTGGTGCTGCAAGGTAAAAAAATCAACCCATGCAATAGAAATGCCATTTTCTTTATTTAAGACGAACTGAGGTGACATGTTGTCTTTGAAATTCCTGCAGTTAAAGAAAACGTATATGATTGTTAAATATTTGCATTATGTTTATAAACATAAACCATTAGCAAAGAACAGATGGCTTGAGTAACCATGATATACACGTATCAGTAGATACAGTGACATTAGTGTTATTGCATCTATTTATATTAGTTATTTAACATAAATATTGCTGACATTTTTATTTCTGTGTAAAACTTTTGAATGTTCATATTTTTAACCGATCTATCGCTGCATTACATGTGTATATATCACTTATGAACTGTATGGGACACAGTATGGTGAGCAACTTGGACTCACTGCATCTGGCTGTGCTCGTCCCAGATGCCATGTGATGGCCATCTGTACACAGGACTGGCTGACATCAGGAAGCGTGGCCATAATCATATCCATGGTAACAGCATCTTTGTCTGTTGGTGGCGGTTGTCTCATGGTGCAGGGGGTGTTGGGAACCCAGGCACACCAGTCAAACTAAAAGGAATCAGAGTAGAGAAACGTTTGCTGTACCCCTGTGGTATCATCTTTTCTTAAATAAGTCGCCCCAACAAACCAACAGTGTCAGTTTCTGCACCTCAGTGCATCTTGTGTAACAGTGTCGACTGTCTTGTGTGTGTGTTCAGCACCTGTCCGTTGTTAGTTGCAGCATGCTGGGCTGTGCTTGTGAAGATAGCCACTGCCAGCAGTGTGCAGAGTTCCTCTCTGCTGCTGAGTTTACTGGGCAAACCTGGAACACATGAACCATTAAGTGGATACACAGGATACACACTTACAGGATATCCTGCCGAGAACTTCTGCTAGCTGGAGGAGGTGTGTCTGTAGTCTGAAACTATGAAAGGAAGGATGTGACACAATTGCTGCCTCGTGCTGGCAATCGCTTTGTTTTTATAATCTTGTGCAAATATATGTGAGTTAAATTTCACCTGGTCACTTGTTTTTAAATTCAATTAACAAACCAACTTGTGAATTCTACATTGCAGTACATTCATGTTTTGAACTTAACTGTATATAGTTACAGATAAATGATCAAGTGAAAGAGAGTTGGAGACCAGATCCAGACTGATTGTTAGCCATCAACACTCGTCAACAACAGTTAACACGAACGGTGCTGTGCGAAGTCTTGAACGCCCCTCATTTACTTATATTTTGGTAGGAGAATGGGGAACAGGTCCAATGTCCAAAAGTTGATTCTGTTCATCTGGACGTCTTCAGTGGGAGAAACGTTTCGTCATCACCAGGTGACTCCTTCAGTCTCAGCTGACTGCAGGTTTCAACCTTATAAACAGCACATTTGCATAATGACTGAAACCAGCCCACTGAAGGAACAATGGGCTGGGAGGTCAGTTCCTTAATCTTAATTATGCAGATTCTCATGACCATTGATCAACAACCACTGATCAATGTCCATGAGTCCCATTCACAGAGAGCTGGGGAATGGCTGCAATCTCTCACCTTCTCAACACAATCCAGGGTGTTCTGGATGTGGTGTTCAGAGCTGCCCACCAGCGGGTTGAGGATCGAAGCCAGAAACTCGAGCTGACTGAGTTGATCGTACAGACAATCGGTCATAAAGGTGCACCCTGTTTATGTATCGTCAGTAAACCATACAGCCTTGGTGTAGACTCCCATGGGTACATCCTGTGGTATGAGGTCCGCTCAATAGCCTTGTCCTGTTCCAACTGCTTCAGACAGTCTATCAGCCTCTTCCTGGGTCTCGTTTCAGGGGCTCATAAGTATTTTCGTCGCTGAGTAGTAACAACATTTTCTCATGATAGTCTGTCTGGTTTAGCAGAGCTGTGCACCTAACGGACATGTATTGCATGGCGTCCCTTCCACTGAGACCAGTTTAGAGCAGTAGATGGATCAACTGAAGGGCCAGATGCATCTCTCAGGTCTTGTGTCACATCATCATATTATCTATATATAACATATATGGATAATATCTTTATCTCTCTATATATTATATAAATAAAGATAATATCTATATATAATATATTTCTATATGATATAGATGTATATTAGATATCAAGATTAGATAGATCTATGTAGATATATCAGGGCTGTCAGGCCTTCGGTTAGACACTCCAGATGATCAACAGCTGGTTCATTTGTGCTGCCAGGCCCTCATGGAGTGCAGTCCAGCTCTTCATGCTGGAGACTCTTGGATGTCTTCCACTGGTGGTTACTGGATCCTGTTCAGAGGTTGCTGTGGTCTGCCCTCAGATCCTCTAACCACCGAGCTTTGCTGTTATGGGTTGCGTCCTGCTCCCATATGCTCTTTGGAGAACTTAAGATTAAGTTTTTATTGTTTAAATCTACTTTTGTCTTTAAACATTTTAACACTTTATGAAAAATGTAATAAATCTTTTAAACCAGCAGTGAGAGCGTAGTATCTCGAGAAAAACTTACCTTCAGACCTAATGACATTTTAAGCAATCAATAAATGAATAACTTACTATACATGTCCAGGTGATTACATTAATAACTGACCAAAGTTGGGGAGCTCTGTGAAGCCTTCCTCCGTGATGTCTCTGATCCAGGCCTGAAGCTCCAGGTCTTCTTGCACATCATGGTCTGACTGGTAGTACAGGTTTACCATACTGGAGACAAAACTGGAGCAAAGGTAAAAACTTTGTAGTTATTTATAGTTTGTATGTGGTATGGACATTCAGAATGATACTCAAAACATGTAAAAATATCAGGCTTTAGTAGTTTTTGCTGGTGTTGTCTTTGATTTCCCCTGATCACTGGGACACACACACACACACACACACGCGCACACACACACACACACACACACAATAAAACAGCATCAGCTCAATGAAACATGAAGGAAAGTTTACTCATTGTGATGAAATTATTCATAAATCATGTTAAAGTACAACATAGAAAAGATGAAATTGTGATGAAGTGATTTTAGGGTTTAAACTATGTTTCAAATCGTGTTGAAGTTTACAGGATGAGAAGGCGTGGCTGGACATCAGGTGATTAAATGTCATCAGTTATGATTGGATGTCACTGTGACGTCAGAGCTCATCTCAGGTGTATATGTTACGTGTTTATACACCTCTTTGTATTTAATTATTGATTTGCTTCTGCTGGAGGTTTCTTCCTGTTGAAAGGGAGTTTCCCCCACTGGCACCAAACTGTGTCCTCATAGGTCATATGATTGTTTGGTTTTCTCTGTTTTCTTATACTTACAATATAAAGCCATTGTTAAAACTGTTGTTGTGATTTGACACTATATAAATAAAACTGAATTGAACTTGACTGAATTTGTCATCCAGACAAAAAGAGGGGAGAGATGAGGACCTGGTGTCCTGTAAGTTTTATGCAGAAGAGATGATAGGCTCTTCCCTTTGTCTTCTGTGACATAAGCAGTTCAGAAGATTGGATCTAAGAATTCCCAGTTGGATTATCCAGCAAATGTGCCAGACGGATCAACTGCTGCCTGAACTATGGACTTACAATTTGGTTTTTTCTCTGCTCATTTTTTCCGTGTTAGATTATAAATTTAAGAGAATTCGGACTTCCAAGGAATTCCCCTGTTTTCCAGTGAAGCAGTAAAGGTAAAAAGCTGAGTACTAATAGATTAGAAACAGCTCGTACAGGTTACGCCAGCCTTTTAAAGTAACAGACTGGGGGCTTAGTTTTCCAAACCACTGAATTAAACCCAGTCGTAATCCAAGAGCACTGATCTAGAGCTGCCACCGCAGGCCTGCAAGGCTGGGCCAGTTTTGAATCAGAGTAAGCAGTGCAGACATCTGGAGAATAGAGGCAGTTAGAACTGGCCATCAGCTCTATCCGAGCTCTGCACCGCCTCCTGGGTAATCCTCATAGGATCAGAGAGTGGACTTTTTAAACACAGAGTTGATCCACACTTCCTGCACTCAGGTGCTGGTTCCACAGATCATCGGTACCTTGTAGAACTACGCAGGAACAAGGACAACATGCGTACTCTCTAAGCCACCAGGTCTACCCACTGCACCGCCGAATAAATCACACCCAGTGGTTGCAGCAAGCTAGCACACCACAAGCTTGCTATTGTACCTGTGTATGGCCTCCCACAGCATCAGACTGTGGTCTTTGTAGAAATAGTTGGGGAGCTGAGACACTCCTCTGTCACAGAAATCATACAGCGGCTGAATGGAGCGGTAGGTCAACACCTTGTACTCCCTCTGGGCCAAAATTAACAGGCCATCACCACCTGTAGACACAACCTACACAACATTTCAGGAATATTAGATCTGAATATTGAAGAGCTCAGTAATACTAAAGCCAAGCGTGCTGTGGCATACTCGTTTGAAGATGCCATTTGCAGAGATGAGCTGAGTGCGCCCCCTACAGTTGATCTCTAGAGTGTAGCGTAGATGAGGAGCCAGAAGCTGCAGGAAGAAAGAGAACATTTTGATTATTGTTGGAAATTTAGATTCTACTGGATTTATGTTGCAGAAAGGAAATTACAAATGAAGGCTTCATGTCTTTGCTTTTAAACCAATTCACATCAGATAACAACTATGACCAACAGTGAAAGTGCTGAATAATACGACTTATATTAATATTTACCTTGTAAATGGGGTGTACAGCAGGCAGCTGTCTCAAAGTGGCCACACAAAACACTTCTACCACCAGGTGAGTCCTAAGTAGGTGAGACAGGAGCTGGAATACCTGGAACTCAGAGTGACGCACCCACATCTTAGCCAGCAGCCAGGCCAGAGGGGGATCGCTGGGCAGGAATATGGGCGTGTCCCGGCCTGGAGTCTGTTCAAGCTGAGAAGGTGAAAGAGACTATTGAGCTGTGGCCCAAGAGGTAGAACGGGCTGTCGCTTAGCTTGTATAGCCAACACATGGCTTCAGAAGCACCGTGTCAAGGCTTGGTTTGTCTGAACAGAGTCACATGACCGAAGCTTCACCGTCGCTGCTTCAATACCGGATTCTGTCGTTTAGAAAGAACTGAATTATTGGCGGTGAGTTTGTGCGACAGAGCAAACCGGTGTGTGACGTAATGACAGACATGGAGCCGGCGAGGAAGAGAGGACTTTCTACCTGCTCCCAAATATAAACAGGTCATAACCAGGTCTACCCCCAGGTCTCAAACGCACATAAGAAATAGACTAGAAATGCCGTTATAAATATATATGTTGTAGTATATTATATATAAAAGTACATATCCACTGGTTCACTACACAACCAGACACCTTACAGCACAAGCATGCTCCCAGCTTATAATAAGACTCTGCTGTATATTATTATACATAGTGTGTTTTATTATTTTTATCACAAGGCCACAAGCATGGGGAGAACAAGTAGACCCAACATTATTTTTTTACCCCCAAAAATACATGTTCAAAGCACCACGACAGCCTGATATCACACAGACCTGTCAGGGTGTACCCCGCCTCTCGCCCTAAGACAGCTGGGATAGGCTAATTTAGTGAGCTTACTCATTATCTGCTGTAAGGTGTGCGCTTAAGAGTTATAACAGGAAGTCAAGTACAAAGTCAAGCTCAGGACCTTTTTGTGGTGGGTCAGCAGTGCTAATCACCCCACTGTGCTGCTGATAAAGTCCCAGTTAATGAAATTTGTCCCTGTGCTTCTGTGCATGCATGTAAACAACATACCTGTATAGCAATAGGTATAAGTCCTTCATCTGGGTGTTGGTACAGGAGACAGATAGGAGCAGCGATGTACTGAGGGTGTCCCTTGATTGTGTTACTGGGAATCCCATCCATGATGGCATAGTCTAACAAGTATATGTTTCCTGCCTGGACAAGAGTGTAAAGGAAATTTAAGATATGATGGCAAGCATGCAACAGAGACCATGAAATAAACACCAGCAGTGAGACAATAACAGCGTCTACATTTGTGCCGTTCCTTTTATTTTATTGTAAAAACCAAAGTAGTGCTTTTTCTCAACCTTCAGTTCTTTGTTCAAGTTGGTCCTGCCAGCCATAGAGCGCTGAACCATATCTGCAGTAACAGGGAGGTTCTCCGGCAGCTTTTTGCACCTCTGGATCATCCTGGGGTTGGAACCATTTAGACACTGGTAGCCAAAGAACCAGTCCTCCTTCCAGTGGTTCATACAATACTCTGTTGTATACACACAGACACACAGAGCATCAGGTGTCTGTCGCTGTTCAAAGGCCTTTGGAACAGAAAGTACCGCCGCAGAGATCAAGTTCAGCCCTGCCACTGATTACAGTGGAAGGGAGAGAGAAATAATGTGCTTGATCTGAAGTGAATATTACCCACATGCTTTTATGGATCATCTTCAAATTTTACAACAATTAGAAAGTCAGAATAGAACAAGGAGAAAAGGCTTTTAAATAGGCTGCCCTCACTGTCTGCAATAATCTAAAGAGGGAGGTGAAAGTGGCAGAACTGGTAACGATGGGAAAGTTGATAGCAACAAACTTCTCTGGCACAACTTCACCCACTCCCAAGGTGCATGGAGAAGACAAAGATCTGATGACGTGGAGACTCCAGCAACACTAAGTATCAGGGAACAACTTTATCAAGTGACGGCTTGTGGGCTTCACCAGGTAAGGGAACGTCAAACAGTTTGTGTTTAAATAAAAGTGGGCAACAGGAAACCAGTCACACCTTCACAGATAAACCAGCTGACCATTTCACATTTAACAAGGCGGTAATGGCTAATTGGTCCAAATAGATTCTGGACTGAACCACTACAGATTAAAAGGTCAGAAGATGTAGCTTAACTGTTAACCAATCAGACAAACCACCTCGTTAAAGCAAACTGGTCAGCTGGTTTATCTGTGAAGGTGTGATTGGTCCACTTGGATTTTTTTCTCTTTCCTGTTTTTTGTTTAAACACAAGAGAGACTCTTTTGGATCTGCTGCCAAGGAACATCAGCGTGATCCCTCAGGAGATCTGATCCAGCTGCCTACTGATGCCACCGTGGTGATTACCACTTTTAAAAGATCATTTTTTAGGTAGCATTTTGAATTTGCATGAAACTACTATTAAAGCTGTTGTATGCTATGCTTTTTTTACTCACCCGCTATGGGACTTTTCAACTTCCAGAAGATACGTTTGAAATCTTCAAGGTCATCCCAGGACTTCCCAAACCAGATGGTCAGCTTCTTCAGAGATAACTCCAGCAAACTGAGGAGAGGAAATGAGGCGTTTGTTGTTTTAAAATCAAATTTGTTACAAATGTGTTGAATCATAGAGTGTGTGTACCACCTACGCGTAATGTAATGAATGTTCAAAGTCACTCCGCTTCTCGTTGTCAAAGCGGGCGTCTTGGGGTAAGTCTGCTTCTGTTTCAGCATCAACACATCTGGGAATCCCTGGAGCCCACGTTACCCATCTAACACAAAAATATCCAATGCTTCAAATCTATGTGTTGTTACAGAATGTCTTTGGTCAAATGTGGCTTGTAGTTTGTACAGTTTAAAGGGTTTCATACACCATAAATGTGAGTCCCTACCTGTAAGTCTTCTGTCGCTCCTGCAGCTCTGTTCTCCTGTGTTCCAGCAGCTGCAGTGCAGAGTCACCTGTCAGCGTCTTTGCTACAGGAGAGACAGGGAAGTACAACAGCAGACACTTGGAAGTCATACCATCACATTATAGAGTAGGGCAGCGATACCGATGAAATCAAGCACTAAGAAAAAGGGTCACACATGAGATAACTGAAGGAGTTCTGCTTATATGTAACACCGGAAATATATCTTCTTGTATGGTCTGACGCTTACATAACGAAAGTCTAAGCGGAACCTGTAAACAAATATGATGCAAATGGAAAGCAGGCACAGCAGCCCAGCGTTTCACCGTTTTTGCATGAAAGACACAGGCCTCATTTACACCTTGTGGTCTTATCTTGATTATATTATCTGATACTGTGTCTATATTTATGTCTCAGCTGCACATTTCTTAGGCGGTGATGGCAACTTGTCAACAGAGATGATGTGCTCCAGCTAAAAATCTGAATCACTGATCATCATTATTACAGCAGCTGCTGCTCTGTAGTTTTTGCTGAGCATAGGGGCAGGTTCTAGCTTGGGTTTAGAGCACAGGTGTCGGACTCCAGGCCTCGAGGGCCGGTGTCCTGCAGGTTGTAGATGTGTCCTTGATCCAACACAGCTGATTTAAAGGCTAAATGACCTCCTCAACATGTCTTGAAGTTCTCCAGAGGCCTGATAACGAACTAATCATTTGATTCAGGTGTGTTGACCCAGGGTGAGATCTAAAACCTGCAGGACACCGGCCCTCGAGGCCTGGAGTTGGACACCCCTGGACTCGAAGGTAGTACAGCAACAGCTACACATCCCCAGTGTGCTCATGCATGGGTGGACGAGTAGCCTTAGATAGCCTTTTAATCTCACCACCAACTGCTTAATGTGGTAAACTGACTGGGACTTTTAACCTAACATTCACACACTGATGGATTTATCAGGTGCAACTTAGGATTCGTTATCATCTACTAATCTGCTGCTGGTTTGTTCTGCAGCTCCTCCTGTCTGCTCCAGCCCAAACTATCCTTGGACAAGATACTGAACCAAGTTACTCTCAGATCCATCCATCGGAGTATGCATGCGTGTCAATGGGCGATTGATGCATGGTTTATAAAATGCCACATAGGAATCAGTCTTGTACTAAAATAGAACCTGCATGGCTTTAAAGGGAAATTTGCATCTTTGCTCAAAATGACCTCAGGCCTTTTACACATGTAGGCATTGAAGGCAATGAAGGAATGAGACTCTTTCCTACCGGTTCCTTCTCGTATCTCCATCTTGACATCGCCTACAAACCATCGGTAACAAGGGAAAGTCAGCACTTTACCTCCATCTGGAGGCTCTACAGTGACATATTGACAAAACCAGTTGTCTTCCACCCAGTATCTTTGTTTCTCTAGTCGGACCAGTAGCACCGAGCCTAAAGGTGAAGGACTCGTCACCTTATACTGGTCAACCTGATGGAAGAATAGAGGAAGAGAAATACAAAAAAATGAGGTACTTTCTATCTCAGACTGACGCTGAAAAGCTAGTTCATGTTATTCTGTCAAGTTGTCCTAAAAACTACTTAAAATGTCCTGAGCTGATCGAACCCAAACTACACTTACTGCTCCTCGACAGAAATCCAGTCCAGGGTTGTCGAGTTGAGTGCGCTCGCTCTCCCCGTTCTCCCCCACAAGCGTCAGATAAATGTAGTTGTTGGTGCCTGAATACTCTGAAGTACCAGTTGCTACTGTAACAGTGTAGACTTCCATCTAAGAAGACATGAGTCATACATAAGTGTTCAGCTAGCAACATGCGTGCACCTGAATACACAGGAAAAACAAACTTGCAGCTGTCTTGGCTCAGTGACGTCACCATGGTTAGTGGAAGATGTCACAGCACCGTGCTTCAGAGGGAAAATGAAGGGTGTAGCAATAGGAAGGTCTAAGTTCAAAGTCACAAGGCTTCTGTTTTTTAGCCCTTTTTTCGACTCTTCAAGTTTTAGGCTTTCTTGTCATGATTGGAAAGTCGGAGCTGCAGAGCTGAGTCTCTGATTCTTTGCTTTAAATCTGCCTGCAGACAAACAGAAGCTTCATGCATGTTTCAGCTATTTGTATTTATCCTTTAGCCCAGCTGCCATTTCTGTGACAGCTCCTGTTGGGACCTCATCACCCAACATTAGCATGTGTCATTTGTGGGGTGGCTGTAGCTCAGGAGGTAGAGCTGGAAGGTTGGAGGTTCGATCCCAGGCTCCTCCAGTCTGCATGCCAAGTATCCTTAGGTAAGATACTAACCCCAAGTTGCTCCCTGATGCATCCACTGGAGTATGAATGTGTGTGAGTGTAGTTAGAAAGCACTCAGTATAGAGGTAGTGCTTGTGGACTGGGTGAATGTGGCGTGTTGTATAGAGTGCTTTGAGTACTCTGGGAGAGTAGAAAAACGCTACACAAGAATCAGTCCATTTGCAATAAGTAGCATTACCCAAACCAAAACTCTTTTGCAAGAGTGTCCTGGCTTCACACTTGCTGAGAGGCAACAGTACTAAGCATTGAGTCACCATGGTGACTGACTATGTTTTTATTCTCCAAGCTGTGGATGTAATCGTAGAGCTGGAGTAGATTTGTGTGGGTTTTTTAATAAGCAGTGTTCTCGGATGTTATATATGATCACATTTGCATCTTATACAAAGTCCACAAGTTTCTCCAGGAAATCAGGTATTTTTGGCGATTTTGCATGCAATGATATATGATGCAATAATATATAAGAGGAACCAAACTCTTAAAAAGATCACGCACTCTACAGCTCAAACTGAGTGAACATGTTTTCTAATTATTTAAATATTAACCCTAACCAAATGTTCAAACCGCAATGGTGCAAATGTAGCACATTTCATCTTCACACACACATGCACGCGTGTGTTCCTGTCCAGCTATCTTCACAAACTGGTCCTCACAAATTCCCTCACTAAGATCCTCCTTAAGATAGCTGAACGCGTGCACACAGACACAGGCATTAAGTAACCATTTCCTTTGGTGGTATATATTTCAACACAGTTAATTTTTTTTTTGTATCTTATCAAATCCCAACAACAGTCACTTCAGTCTGTTGCTGCATGCAGACCCTACAATAATAAAAAGACGTTACTGGTAAAGAGCCTCCTGTGAGATGAGTGATTTATTTTTCCTTAAGGAAAAGTTTGAACATCTCAACTTCAAGCAAACTGTGTGTGTGTTACACCTCTGACTATCAATATGCATCTACAGATAATGCAATCAACAACACGCTACAGCTTCATTTAGAATCCAGACACAAGCGTTTCCTCACCGCAGCTTTTCTGTGTCACTGTCAGGTAACAACGCCTCCCAGCTCCAGCTCCTCAAATCTCTGACACCGAGGCGCTGCGCTCGTCTCTGCTTTTGAAATATTTGCTAACATTATAATCAACTCCTGACACTGACAGCAGTATACTGTGATAAATCAGTAGTAAAAGTATACAAAGTGTTTGTATCAGCCATCTTTGTGCAAACTAACCAAACCTTTGCTGTGTCAACATAAACGTCTTTTAAATGAGAACCTTTTTGTTTCTTTTGTACTTTGCCTCCACATCTGCACAGAAAACCGAGTATGATTAGTGTAGGTTTACTGCTTCCTGTGCATATACACAATTAAATCTTGGTTGATTCCCTGTACAGACAGAATACTGTTCATACACTAAACAGTATACAGTCACTATAAAGGTTAAATTCTGTAAATTAATCTTAGCATCATTAACTTGAATACAAACCCGACTCTGACCATGAGCACCACAGCCATACTTCACCACTCCTGACCTGTTTATCTTGCATTGAACTATCTTGTATTTGAAAAACACAAACACAACTCTCTTGGTTTTGGATGAAAAACACAACTTACATGTTTTGACACACAGATCGAGTGTCTGATTTTAAAACAGCCTCCCACCTGACCAGGCTGAGGTGAGGCGATAGCATTCATAGATTCTCCAAGCAGAAAGATCAACGCTTTCTTTGTCCTCTGTATTGAATGCCGCACTTTGTATTCTGTAACTTTTCCTATTACATAACCCATGCAGATGATGTATGGCGTGATTCAGAATGAACTACCGTTGCTGCTGCGTGTTAAAATAATACAATCTCGCACACACTCTTGCGTAAAACACTTGCGTAAGTTGTCTTGACCGAAACAATTTCAGCTGTACTGACTCAGTCACGACATTCCGGTACTTCAGCAATAATATTATTTTTCACATATTTAACGAGACAACAGGCGCGTGTGATGTTGAGCATTTACTGCGGCGGTTTATATGAAAGCTGAAAAACTAATTTGTTCCCCAAAACAGCTTCTGTTGTTTTCTAATGTTGCTTTTGTCAGTGGCAGCGTGTCTGACGACACCGCGATCACAGGCTGGGCAGCGGAGGCTCTGACAGGCAGCTGTGATGGTGATAATCTGGAGTTTGGAGAAGACAACAGAAAAAGACCCACCTTAGTCCCGCGCCGTGTTCACAGTGGACTGTCGCTTTGGTGGAGTGGAGTGTCCGGTGGCTGTGGGGTGACACGTCCTTTTATTCTCTCTCTCTCTCTCTCTCTCTCTTGCTACACTCGTTTTTTTCTCTCAGCCTTTCTGTATGAGACGAGCACTACTCCTGTGGTCAGTATATTTAATTATCAACCAGCCAAAGACTCAGAAACACTAAGCCTCGTCCACCCCAGCTGTAAA